AGATCTTTCTCTACTTTTTTAAATAAAGTTTCAACTATGGCATTTACAACAAAAAAAAAAAAAAAAAAAAAAAAAAACTAATAAAATTATAGAGAGATCAGAGCAAAGTCTCGAAGTATCATTTATACAAATATTTATTACATTAAAGCATATGTATATATATGTTTATTATTTCATTCTAATTTAAAAGATAAACAATCCAACTTGTTTAATATATATGATATTAATTATTTGGAGAGAATAAGCTAAAATAATTACTTTTTACAAAAATTTTTTCAAAAAAAAGTGGTGAGTCAACAAGAGTATATAAGGTTCTTCTTGTAAGTTTTATAGTCATATAATTAACTTCTCTATTTCTACTAACCTAAAAATATATATTGGCTACTTATACAAACTTGTTTTCAGAATAAACTTTCTGGTTTAGATGCTGAATATCTTAAGAAGTCTGCTCAAAAAAGAAAAAACTTGACTTCAAGAAAAACCATTCATTTTTTTTTTTTTTTAATGTTAAGGTGACCACTTGGGGTCTGGCATGTTTATTAACTTCGGTTGTGAATGTAGGACAGCCACAGGACCACCCCTGACTTTGTTACATTAACGAGGGTACATACTAGCCATATCTACACCTTTTGAGCGTCTAATTAAGTAGTTCTCTATTGCTAAGTACTACACTAGATGCCGTACCTATAACCCACTATTACTTGAGTTACCCAATTAAACCCTTTGATCAACTTGGCACCGTCGGATATTCTCCCCAAAGAGGAACTGCCGCTAAGGCCCCTTAGGACTGCTTTATTCTCGTGGTAAACCTACTAGAGCGGTCCATGTCCCACACATGTATCACCTAGATTTTTCAGTAACTTACGCCTAGGCCGAAACCAAGTACTTGTGGTATCTCTCTGCTACCATTACCTACTCCTTGCCCTTGCAAAGTTCACCCAAACCCCAGCACATACTTTACGGACTAGCACCAACTTTCCTCCACCAACAGTATCCCAAACTTCCAATCCAGATAGCCCGGGGAGGGACCAGTGGGCATCCCCTTGATATTCTGATTGAATCCTTTTTCCTCGTTTACATGGGGCCACCTCCGTATACTCGCGGCCTGGTTGGTATTAGTGTCTTGCCAAACACCCAGTCCTCGTCCAGTTTACTGCCGGTGTCTGATCACTGATGATCATCCTTTACATAGTACCGTTGAAGATCTGTGCTACCTCTCTACTCAGGACTTGCCAAGCGGGATTCCGTGTGCTCCAGCCCTTGGATTTACACAAACATTTTACTCGGGTTTCATATAACTTTTGCGTCACACTATAGTTTCACGTTCTTCCAGTACAAGCTGGTTTGACCAAGGCTACAGATCCGATGATCCATCAGATTACATACAGTCTGCCGTAACACATTCCTTAAATTCGAATTTCGTCGCCGGTGGGATTCGAACTCTTGTTCTGCCGCTTGGGGGTGCGAAAGACGCATTTATTAAACTGAACCCAAAAACAATAAAACTAATATAATTAGCACGTCAAACCCATCTCTCCAACTTTAAAACCCATTTCTCTTTACTATTAAAATTTATCTCTTCTTATAGATATAGTCAAATGATTTGACTCACATTAAATATCTATCATAACTACATCATAAATTAGGGTATTGTAAAAAGTTGCTCTAATCCTTTAACATGAATGAATCTATATTATCTTGGGTATAAAAAATTTTTATAAAAGTATAACTTAATTTATTTTTTTTGATAATGAATTAATAATGATTTATTATGATTTGTAGAAATTTTTTTAAAGGTAACCAGTATCGAATATTATAAATTGGTCATTTTATTATGGGTTAAATATTTCGTGCTAAAAAATTTTTTAAACATTATGAACTAAGAATTCTTTAAGATTATGTACTGTAATGTTTTGCTGGATGTCTGTTTGCTGTGAGGATCCTGATTTTTTTAATATATATTCGTAATAGATATTTATAATTTCATTCCTTTAAATTTTATTTATAATTTTCTTGGGTATTATAAATTTCAAGTATTCGGTCAAAGGCTTTATGAGTCAAGGAATTATTGTTTATGAATCCATAAGTATTGCATACACAACAGAAAATAGCTATCATATTTTCACAAAATGATGTCTATTCACACGTTATTTTGAGTATATGTGCATTATTTTAAGTACACGCTTATATGAAAAAGTGATGTTTTTTTTATACTTTATTATTATTAATATCAGTTTAATCGTAATTATTCTTTAATAAAATCTAAAATCATAAATTTTATATACTACACAAAATGTTTACACCAAAATAAATTAATTTTCTAACCTATCTATCTCTTTTAATAAATTTTTTTTTAGTTCATGAATTATCTTTTCATTATCTAATTTTTGAATTTCCTTTTTTTCATCATTTGTTAATTTTTGAATTATCTCTTTTGTAATATTTTCGAATTTTTGAGATAACTCATTTTTATCTTTATATAAATTTACAATTTTTAATAGCATTTTAGGAAGAAATGGTATTTCAATAGTATCATCCCAATTATTATTTTGTACTTTATAAGCTATTTCGTAAAATTTATCAAGGCTAAATCTGTAAAATCTTTAGATGTTATCAATAATTAATATTAAATACTAATAAATATTTCATAGTAAACTAAAATAAATTAATATTTACATAAGTTCAGGGGACCAATTATTTTTTCTACGTTGATATGGTAGCATATAAAATAATTCTATTTCTGACAAAATCTGTTGAAAAAATATAAGAATTATTTTAAATAATTTTAAAATAAAAAATTATTAAATTAAAATAATAATGAAATACTACCTTTGCTCTTTGAAGTAAAAATAATTCTTTTTTATTGGTTTCATTAATAAAGTTAGTTAACAATCCAATAAATAAATTCATTAAATAAATTGTTGTAAAAAAAAAAAAAAGAATTATTAAAATTGTTAATGTTAAATTCTTAGTTAATGAATAATTAGATATATAGGATGAATCGCCTATAAATAGTTAATGTAAATATATATATAATTGTAAATAATTATAATTATAATTATAAAAAATTAAAAAATACCTGTTAACATCATATATATAGCCAAAAATGCTGTGTTTAAATTTGCAAATATATTTGTGTTTAAATTTTCAGAGTTATTTAAATTATTTAAAATACCAGTTGTTGGCCTTAATAAAATATATAAAGAGTGTGCAAAAGCAAACATAATAAAGCCTATTATTATAAAAAAGGACAAAGAGTTTTTTATAACTCCAATAATCATTATCTAATATATACCACCAAATTCAATAGCATGAAAAAATGTTATAAATTTAAGCTCAAGTAATAACACAGAAATGGTAATAGCCCATGTAGATGTTATAGAGGATTGTAACTAATTAATAGAAGTTAATACAGGAAATAATATTGCGCCTATATCTTAAAATATATTAAATATATTAGTTATATAAATCTTATATATAATTATTATTTTAAATTAAAAATTAAATATCAAAATAATTCCAGATATCAGTAATCCATAATAAAGGAGAATAAATACATTGACGAATTTCAAAACTAAGATGCAAAACTCCAAGAATAATAGTTGTAACTAATAGTAAATCTTGTACATTATCAGATAATCTTTCTATCGTAGTAACTATTAAAAAACTCAACATCAAAATAAAATAAAAAATAAAAATGGCAAAAAAATAATATTTTTCATAAATATTCCACTTAAAATTTAGAAGAGCTTCACCATGCCAATATTTATAAAGTTCGGGAAATTGGTGTTTTGAAAAAATACTAGGATTAGGAAAAATTAATTCTTTCCATAGATTATAATTACTAGAATATGAATTAAATTTTGGCAATGGAAAATTAAAATTACAGTTTGAAAATCTTTATAAACCAAGTTTTCTATTTTTTTTATAATAAAAAAATTTTTAAACGCTTCTTTTATATCATAAGAAAAATAAGAAGTGAAGATGTTGTTAAATAAAATAAAAAAATGGTTGATATTTTGTTTAAAATTACTAGTAAAATAAGGTTGCAAATATTTTATATGACTTTGAAGATGCAGTTCTAAAAAGAATTTGTTAAATTTAATTTTTTCAGAATCATTAATTGAATGGAGAAATAATGTATATGATAAAAATTCTTTTAACAATTGAGGAAATTGAGTTAATTCTACAAATGATATAGTAAAAATATCTAATAGCTGAATCTTTACCAAAAAGTTATTATTTTCTATTTCTTTATATATTTTATTACACAATTTGCTTACCATTAAGTAATTTTTAGACTTTAAGCAGCACATTAAAAGTTGCCGCCCATATAATTTCATTAGTATTTTATCTTCAATATAATTATCTAACAATTCTTTAAAAAGATATCTCTTATTTTTCGTGAATAATTTTTCATCATTAATGATAATAAAATCAAAATCTGGTGTGGGCAATAAATTTTTCTTATGCATTTGTATCTTATTTAATAACTTTGCAAAGTTTGAATATCCATACTGGTCTCGGTAAGTTATGTAATACTGTAATCCAATTTTTTCATCTTTTTGCCAAATTGACCATATAAATAAGCCAAACGTTGTAATCATTGCTAAATCTTCATTATACAATAAATCACAACTATAAATATACAAATCTAAACTTCCACCTGTATAATAAATTCGATTATTTAATTTTAAATTATATTCTACAGATTCCAAATCAGACTTTTTCAAAAAAGCTTTTATAATTCTTTTATTTCCATATACTTCCCATTTTACTAATGAACCTTTACATGATTGTGTTTCATTCATCTCACTTATCGAGCTATTGTCTATAAATTTTTTCAAAACCTCCTCTATTTGAGATTTTTTAGGTAAAACTCTTATTTCATTATAAACATTTAATTCCTCTCGTAAATATTTGATCCATTGCTTTTTAGAAACCTCTTGAACCCATAAATGATCATCTGATATTTAATATATTTTTTCATTAATCAATGTTTTAAACTCTACTTCAAAATTTTCTAATTCGGTCAAAGTTCCTTTATCCAAAAGTTTTTTACATAAATCTGAAGTATTTTTATCATTGATGACATGTTGAAAATGGTATGGGTTTCATATTTTCAAATTATCATCATCAAAAAATAAAAGTAATCTTTCTCCTTCATTAGATGAAATAAATTCTAAACACCTTAATATTGAATATTTTTCAACTTGGCCTATCATTTAATTGTTTTAAGATTAGTTAAATACCACTGGTTGATTTAATACATGTAAATCTAGTAAATACTTCCTTGCAAACAATAATATATAAATTATGTAAACAACTTACATTGTGATAAAAGCATTGAATTTTCTGTTAAGTATACATAAATATATGCTTCTATATTATAATCCAGACATACCGCAAGTAATGTAAAATTTTTATTAAAAATGCAATACCATTTTTCTATCCAATAACAATTATGGATTGTATCTAATTGATATTGTTTTTCAAATAATAAAGTGTTTAAATTCCATTGTGTTAATGATCCACATTTATCAAGAAGCATTATCTTTTCTTTATCACTTATATAACAACACATTACATCTTTTCTTTTTCCACAGGAAATGGATTTATTAATCATCCAACCTTGCTTATTTAAACTTTTAGATGAAAATTTAATAATATTGTCGGCATTATCTGCATAATATAGACGTATATGCATTATAAAATTTACATCCAATAATTGGATTATTTGAATATGGATATAATTTTAGGTTTACTTTTTTCTTGGTGGCAAGGTCAATGACTTTAAAAGAATAAACGTTCTTAAAAATTAATTATTGTAAAATATTATAAATTATTTTATTTATTTGTTACAGTACTAACCAATTATTCCGGTGTGTGATTGTATTGCGATAAGTTTATTATTTGACACTGCAATTAATTCTCGAGGTGTTTCGCAAAATTTTTTAACATCAATTAAACAATCAAACTCGAAGGGCTTGGGTTGATGTGATTCATTTTCGGATTTGCTTAATTGCATTATGGATTGTTCTTCAGGTTGATCTTTAAGTTGCCATCCACAAATTGATTTATCGTCTTCACTCCATGTCGTTGCGTACTTGCTATTTGGTGATAGCAAAAGTTTTGTTATTTTCTTGCCATTGTGTAATTTAGGATCGATTTTAATTTTTTCTTCATATTCAGATTCTGGAGCCTGTGAAAATTCACCTTCATTAATCATTTTTGAAAAAAGTACCTTGCTTCGTAATGAAGTATGGCTTAGAGTACTATTTGGCTTATGATGTTAACATCAGCTTAGTTAAATAGCTATTATCGTTATAACTTAGATGCCTAACGTTGATTAATTTAGAAAAATTACAAACAATAATAATTACATTTTATGTTTTGGAAATAGCTTCATAAATCATGAAATTTCTACAAGATCACCAGATCTATATATTATTGCTCAAAAGCCTGCTTTTTTTTATAACGTATAATCAATTTACATATCTAAACCTTGATGTTTGTGTTTATGTTGTGTATTTCAGAACCCTTGCGACTAAAAAAAAAAAAAGCCGGGCACTGCCACAAGTTTGGCATGGTGTAAATATTGTATAAGCAGTTACTTGGTATATGTGTTATGCGTCACATATAACCCACTTAGTATTGCCACCAAAATCAGTTACATATATACGGAGTTTGCCGACATTAAAATTAATAATTAATTGCTTCTACCACACCCAAAATCTCGGGATTTTGTGTAGAAGCAATTAATACAACAATGCTGTAATGATAACATTTGATTAATAATAATGTAAAAAATAATAACGATTTACATTGAAATTTTTTATTTCTTTCAATATTGTAATATTTTCTGAAATGTTACATAAT